AGGGAGGGAGGGCGCGCACGTGCAGGTCGTCAACCTGCACCAACAAAGTAAGAAGACAGGAGGCCAAGAATTCTTGCAAGAACAGCAAGCAGATTCCTTGGCTTTCACAGCTCCTACTGAAAAATAACTGCTTCTCGACAAAGGCTTCCCACTTGGGATCCCCGGGGGAGGAACGCCATGTCGCACACACAAGGGCTGGGCACTGCCACAACAGGAGGCACTTCTGGAGGGTTCTGCCCACACCAGGCACGCTGGGGCACACAGTCTTCTGCTGAATCCCCAGGGAAAGGCAGCCAATCTCCCAAGGAAGCACACGGGCGGAGGAAGTAAACCCAGATGCCTCAAACATGACCTGTCAGGAGCATTTTCTATTCTGCCCGATCTGTGTGAAGGTGGCCTGAGAGAGGACAATAGTAAGTCCTAATTTCAAAAATCTCCTGCGCATCTTCACATTTCTTTCACCTCACTGTGGTGGGCCCTATCACCCACTGTGAGAGAAGACAAGGCCAGGGATCTCTTGACTGAGAAATATTTTTGTTCCAGATGATTTCTCTCAGAGAGGAAGTGCTAGACCCATGTAGGTTGCTCCATCCTGCATCTGACAAGGTTACTCGAGTCAAAATACGATGTAGCCCTCTAATCCGTGCTGACCACTGAGAACTCAGAATGCCGTTTCTGTGAGTCTTCAGATTCTGGGCGCTAACTGCTGGCCTGGGCCTGGCTGCTCCAAATTCCACGCCCTCTGCTGGGAGCAGTGGAAGCTTTGCTGTTTCCATGCTCCTCCTGCATGGAAAAGGCAGCCTGCTCCTCTGGGGCGGGGCGGCTTTTCTGGCCACCCCTTCCCCAGGCCTTCCTGCCTAATGACATCACTGGAATTCAACCAGAACCCCCAACCCTCACCACCTCCTCACCATATAAATGTGCGATGTGCGTCCTCACTCTGTCCGTCCCTTCTTCTCTGGGGCACAAATACTGCCACGGGCTAGGAGGATAGCTAATTTGCAGACGAGGGAAACTGAGCCCCAGAGGAAAGAGGAGAGACTCTGGATGTAACAGTGAAAGGTTCCTTTCTTTTCTACATTTAGACACCATGGCTCAAAGACAGCCACCAACATGGGTTTCTTGGGGGACACATCAGACCTGGAAGTTACCTGATGTGCTGCTTCCCCTGTCATGTAGAGGCCTCCACGTGCACTCCTGTGGGAGCGTGCTCTAAGCATAATGTCCCATTAGCCATTCTGACCTGATTTCTCCCTTGTTTGGGCAATCTTCCAGGCCAACCTGCAATTTTCAATCTCTCATAGGCTTTTCAAAGTAATTTGGCATCTGTGGGAAGTCCCTGCCACTAGATAACCGACATTCTTGCGACAGAGGCAAAGGCAAGTGGAAGGGAGACAACTGCTTGCGAAAGCGGATGACATCCAAGGAGCAGGACTGATCACCCAGCCCTGTGCGCAGTGCAGCTCTGGCCCAGCCCTGCTGGCTGCTGGCAATGTCAGCACCCAAAGCTCATGGGGGATGGAGGTGGGGGGTGGGGAAAGTAGGGGAGGGAGCAGAGCCCGAGAGCGGGAAGTATTTACCTTAGAGTCCAGCTGCTGCATATATGACCACAGATATTCTATGTTGGCGCCAAAAGGGTGAACATGAAGGAACGTCGATATGATACCTGAATTAAAAAGATACACATCGGGGGTTATTGAGAGGTACATCAGGGCTTCAGGCAAATAATGTCATCTAACCCCAATGGCTCTTCTCTCATTAGGCCTGGCTGTCTTTCATGCTGCTCGATTCACCTTACCAAACCCAACCCACTGCCGTGGAATCTATTCCGACTCAGAGCAACCCTACAGAGGAGACCTGCTGCAGAAGGTTTTTGAGGCTGTAAATAAATCTCCATGGGAACAGGTAACCTCATCCTTCTCCCACAGAAAGGCAGGTGGGTTTGAACCAACAAACATGAGAGCAGCATATTCTGAAGACAGTCATGGTAACGTGACCAACACCAGTCTTTTATCTCCTGGAATGAGAGTCGTCAGCAAGACTCCAAGATAATGCCTAGATGGACAAAGCTATTTCTAAACAAAGACTCCTGAAAGGATTTTGACTGCCAATTTTACGCTTGATTTGCCAATACAAAGCCGTAGTTATTGGAAGGACAAAATGATCTCTTTTCTTTCCCTCTGTGATGTGCAGTGTGAAAATGGCTCACAGCAACCTGAGAAGGCTCTCTGCCTTAGGCTCCCTGACCATTTCGGTTGCTGGTTACGGAAAACGTTTCGGAAACAGAGATCCTTCCAGAAGTACTGGCTCTTGCCCTCCAGAAGTTGTGGTGGTTGAAAGGGAGCCAGCTCACTTGTTCCATCTCTCCACCGTAATTCACAAGATCATTTAAAGAAGTTTGGGGATGAATGGTTTGGCTGGAGTTTGAGGATCAATGAGAAGGCTTTTCCATTGTGGAAATCCACTCTCAGCACCAGGCTAACAAATGAAAAGCCGGCTGTGGGTGTCAGGGCTTCCGTAAACAGCAGTGCCTTCCTACCTTCTGGGTTCCAGGCTCCAGGATGGAAGTAGGGAGATTAAGGCCGCCCACCCCGTGGGCCATGAGCTGCTATGTGTGAAGGTGTCAAATTCAGCATGACATCCAGAGTGCCCTTTGAAACAGGTTTGGGAATGAATGAAACCAGTGGGCCACCGGGGATGAGGTTCAGTCAGGAAGTACCCTGAAAGCTTGGGGTGACCATGGATTGACCTAGGCAATATCCCATGCCTCTCCGCTCGCCTGGGTGATGCCTGGGATGCACTGCGACCAGTGTCCATTTAAGCAAACTCCCCCAGTCTGTCCACAGGCCAGGGACAGAGACCAGAGGGCCCAGGGAAGCAGCGCTGCAGGGCTTGTCCTCACAGAATTGCCTTTATGAGGTCTTTATTGGTTTATGGTGGGCAGAGGAAGATGGAAGCAATTTTATTATGTTTCTCCATAAAGCCCAAATTTCAAGATTGACCTGTTTTTCTGGAGACATAAAGCACTACCATTTTATTCTGTGATTATGTCCTGTCTCCTGCTGCTGCTGCTGCTGCAATGCCCTCTCTTTCATGAACTAACAGGGACTGGAGACAACGATGGCGGCAGTTCTCAGAGCTTTCAGTAGGCAAATGGCCACGCTAAGTGGAGCTGTGCTGTCTTCTCCCCACCACGCACATCGTTACTTGTTTAAGTTGTAAAGGTTTAGGCCTGGCACCCACGGCCCTGTGGATGGGATTGTGAAATCTGGTTCCATGGCAGTCTTCTCACTTGTTGGGGTTCACGTGTAAGTAAGCCCTGGAGTGGAGGGATTGACTTAAAGTTAGAAGAGTAATAGGTACGAAAACGTTCCTTGGTTTACATGCATAAGTGTGTGCGACTTTATCTTCTTCCCTGCCCACTCTTACAGGAAGGAGAGGGAATGCTCCAGGGAAGTGACTCAGAGGGATCGGAGGGGCCCGGCAAGGCCAGGAGACCAGCACACCTTTCCTAGGCAGGCTGGATGCCTATGTCAGTCAAAGGCTTTGTGAGCCAGGCACAAGGGAGAGGAGGCACCAGTGCTCCGGGCCAGCCCTGGGGGTGCTAAGGATGTCTGAGTTTCCCATGGGGCAAGTAGATGGGCTTGAGCAGTCTGATGGGTATACTACTCCAAGGGCCCCAGCAGGGGGAAAAAACAATACCTTTCATACACATGTTCCGGTGGATCAATACTCTTCAATATCTCTTGGGGAATCAATTTTAGTTGTATTCAGATGCTGTTGAGTTGACCCTCTGACTTGTGGTGATCCCATGCACAAGAGAACCACTCACTCACTGCCTGGTTCGACCCCTTCCCCACAATGGGTTCCAGATCACCCACTTTGATCCATAAGGTTTTAAAAGACAGATGGTTTTTGGAAAGACATTGCTAGACCTTCTTTCCTGGTTCATTTCAGTCAGGAAGTGCTACTAAATCTGCTTAGAATCATACAACAGATAACCCTCAGCCCCATCTCTAAAATCTGGCTTGTCCTCACAGAGTATGAGAATGCACATGCCTTCACTAGGATGAGTCAGAGGAAGATGTGGGGAGGAGGTTGGTACTTGTTGGTCGATGGCATGAACTGGCAGGACATGATGTTCAGAGGCTGCTGGGGTTGGCCATGGGACCTCAGTACACATACTGGGTCCTCCACTGATGCTGTCCTTCCGGCCCCAGCCTGCTCTGGACTCCATGGCACTATGCCTTTAGTCTTAGAATGTTCTGAGTCAATACCAGGAACACAGTATATTGACAATAAATGTATATTGAATGAAATCGTCTCGAGAGCTGAGAATGGCAAGCAAACATGTTTAAAACAACACCCCCCCCACCTTCTTCTTCCCCTTCTGTTATCGTTACTCTCATTATTGGTCCTGAGGGGTTTATTTGTCCTGGATTCCCTGTGCTTCCAGCTTTGATCTGTACCAGTGTATATATCCTCTGGTCTAGCCAATTTGTAAGGTAGAATTGGGGTCATGATAGTGGGGGGCGGGGGGAGGAAGCATTACAGAACTAGAGGAAATTTGTATGTTCCATCGGTGCTATACTTCACCCCGACTGGCTCATCTCTTCTTTGTGTCCCTTCTGTAAGGGGATGTGTAATTGTCTACAGATGGGCTTTGGGTCTCTACTCCGTGCTCCCCCTCATTCACATTGGTATGATTTTTTTGTTCTGGGTCTTTAATGCCTGATAACTGATCCCATTGACACCTCATGATCACAAAGGCTGGTGTGCTTCTTCCATGTGGGTTTTGTTGCTTCTCAGCTAGATGGCCACTTGTTTGTCTTCAAGCCTTTAAGACCTTAGATGCTATCTATTTTGATAGCTGGGCACCATTGGTTTTCTTTACCACATTTGCTTATGCACCCATTTTGTCTTCAGCGATCAGGTCAGGAAGGTGAGCATCACAGAATGCCGAGTTATTAGAGTAAAGTGCTCTTGTATTGAGGGAGTGCTTGAGTCCTATGTCTGTCTGCTACTTTAATACTTACCATATAGATATGTGTACACAGATCTCTTTATCATTATATGTAAATATATTTACATGTGTCCAAGCCTGTATTTAGACCTCTGATGAAAGGGTTCAGTTAAACCCTTCAACATTCTGAGGAGAACTAACCAGTGATGCTCTAACACTCTTTCACAAACCAGGTACCGTTGGGCCATTGTTCCCTGCTGACTTCTGCCTCTCACCCCATCCTGTGTGCAATCTAAGCCCCCTGGAGGTTTGGAGTATAAAAAAAAGTTACTGAAATTATTGTGGCCATGAAACGAAGAGGGGGGAATGTTCATGAGCTCCTAGCATTGATTTCTGTACACCTTTATGAGATTAGAATGCTCACATGCATTTGAGTGGCTTTCCTTATGCGTTTACTCAGAGCCATCTCAGTGGTAGTGCTATTAACAGGTAGCTGTCACATAATGTTTAGCAACTGCCACTAGATACATGTGAGACCAAGCTAGAGAGTTAAAGTTTCCTAAGCTTCTCCTGAGGGAACACTGGTGACATAGTGGGTTACACACTGGGCTGCTAACCACAAGATCAGCATTTCAAACCCACCAGCCATCCTGCAGGAGAAAGATGAGGCTGTTTCCTTTGGTAAAGATTTACAGGTTCAGAAACCCTAAGGAGCAGGTTGAGAATACTCTGCCTTTAAGGACTGCAGTCCGTCAGACTTTACTCATGGCGGTTGGTTGGGTTGGTTTAATAGGCTTTTCCCGTGGATGGTAACAGAGTTACTCAGTAGGGGCAGAGACATCAGAAATGGGATGCCCCAGTCATAATCCCTGTGCATGTGCATGCCTTGCACACTCCCAGCCTGCCTCCACTCATTCCGGAAGCCTCTCAGAAGCATTAGTCCCCTCACCTGAGAAAATGTAACATCCAGGCCCTGTTTTGAGGGGAGCTTACAAAATAAACCACCAAAGGCTTTTTGTAGTCATTTTAACAGGACTGGAACGTTCTCTGGGAATGGGAAAAAGGACGGCTGCACCTCAAACTCTAATGAACAGTGCGACATTCCCAGAAAACTCCGACTGCTGATGGTCCTGAGAGGGACTTACAGACGTCCTAGCAGGACATTGGTGACTGAGGGCGGGGAGTTTAACTGTTCCTGAACGGGTGGGATGGCGAAAGGGAAGATCCCAGTGGGTTTGAAAGTTTCCATGGAGAAGAAGAGAGTCTGAGCCTTATCCTCCTGGGGTTTCAACACTGGAATACACGAGGAGGAGCAGCAGAAAGGAGGCTCTCTTGGGTATCTAGGTCTCTGATAACAGAAATGAAAGTTAACCACAATTAAGCATCCGCAAGTAGATGGCTTCAGCAAGAGGATTTTCTTTTCTGCTAGTTTGGGAGGCTAGAAGTTTGAAGTCAGGTCCTGGCTTAGTGTAAGGCGAGGCTCTACTTCGCAGTCAGCTTTCAGGAAGATCCTCATGGCATCTGCCCTTCTGGACCTGGGCAATCTGCATGTGGCATCGCATCGCTCTTCCCCCATCTCTGCTTTCCTCTTTGCTCGTCTCTCAGAAGATAAAAGGGGTTTTACTCAAGAGAAAACAAAGAGGCGGAAGTAAGAGTTCTGTGTGGATTTTATGACATTTGAGACGGTCATTCTCATCTAAATG